TTTATAAAGCATCCAAGAGAATGAGATGGGTTCGCTCCACATGTAAATGAACATGTTTCTCCTTATTAAGAAGACATGAGCATATTTGTAATATTTATTACTAAATATCTAGGTCCTTAGCACTAGTAAGAAAAGTATGGCAATATTTTTTAGAATCATTTTAAAATTTAGTAATGTTGTTTCCAATGGTAGGTGATACGTCGGTCCATAGCAAGGTAGGTGTATGGGATATCTTTGTTAAACTCAAAAGTCAAGATCCGTCGAAGGTACTCACAAAGATAATACGTGCATACGTGAGTTCACAAGGATAAATTTATCGTCGTCAGCATTTGCATTTGTAATATTTTTTTAAGAGAAACTAAAAATTATGAAAACACTTGCATCAATATAACTTTTACCTAACTGTAGGAACATCAGCCTAGAAAAACACTTTGGACTGAACTAAAAATCAGCCTATAAAAACACTTTGGACTGAACTAATATATCGTCACAAAAATAATACACTTCCCAGCTCAAGACTTGAAATCATTACCTTTTAGTAATTAAATTAAAGTAAACGTTTTTAGAAAAAGGATGACACTAAATATATTTATCCGTAAAATGTAAAATCTTCACTTTGAGAAACTCAAAAGGTAAAAAAAAAAAGTTGAAAGAATGAAGGTTGCAAATTGGGGAAGTGGGCGTTGTGCGATGCGTAGAGGCTCGCGTTTGCGCTGCTATCGGCCGGGCCCTCCCCAGACGCAGGTCCAACGCGCGTCCAGCCCACGCCCCACGGGCACCACCGCCGCACTGACCAGGCTTTTACTAGCTCCCGACGCGTCGCCGGCGACCACAGCACGGCTGGCGTGTCGATCCCTCCCGCTTTCCTCGCCGGATCCCCACCCGCCGCGCCCCTCCCTGAGTCCAGTCCACTGGGGGCAGAGATCCGTTAGCGCGAGGACTGGTCCCTTCTTCTTGGGTTGGTAAGCAACCATCGCTCGCTCGCTTCAATCAAACCCAGATTCTTCTCCCTGTCCATTCGGTGTTCGCTCTGGGTATGTGTGCTGCTAACCCGATCTGTCCGTTCATGGCTCGATTAGGGTCTTCGTCTCCAGCTCGCGAGATCGACACTGGTTGGCACTGATTGTAGCACTTCGTGGCGCCTGATTGGGTCGCGGGTGCGGATTGCCCTCCACGAATTTGGGGCTTGGTCCAGCTGAACCCCCATGACCCAAGCGAAGTCCGCTCCTGGGAGGAGGGAGATGGGCCGGGGGCGGTCGCCAGAACCGCTCGATTTCTTCATATGGACTGTCGAGGTTGCGCATCTGTGTCCCCCCTCTTTTGCTTTGCTGCTGCAAATGCTTTTGTTTTTCTTTTCTTGCGGAGTCTTTATCTTGTGCATTGCCGCTACATAGTCTTTTGTTTGGGAGAATTAATTAGGCCATTGGGAAATCCGTGAAACAGTGTTCTTCCTCTGACCATCCTTGACTTGTTGTCAGGCTCCATGGGGAAGGAATATACAGTAGTATAACATAGTTCTAAATGTTTACCCAGTTGAGTTTCAACCATTTTGGAGTGGATTTAGTGATATTGTTGGTTACAAGCCTAGCTTTTAAGTTGTCACTTTGTTAGGCATTTGGGAAATCTAAAAAGAGGCTTAGGAACTTGATATTTTATATGCTGTTGTCCCTTTCATTTTAATGTACTGTCAGTTCTAGTGACCACTGAGTATTGAGGTTTCAGTTATTCAATTGTTCTATGTCTTTTCCTACATGTTATTCATTAGATCTTTTTGTTTTTGCATCTTTTATTGTTCCTGGATTATTTCATCTTGGTGGCCTTGGAACTTGCACATTAGAGAGGTACTCAGTGTTATCCTAAATGCTAAACGGTAAATAGTCGGTCAACCGTAGTTTACCGTTTGTGCCATATAGTTGGTGTTTAAATGGGGTTAAACGGTCTAAACAGTTTTGTATAGTACCACTAAAATATACATATTTATGTATGTAAAATTTAAATATACAAGAAAGTATACACATTTATGTATATAAAAATATGTATTCTAGCAAATAATTTTTTCGGAAAGAACCTAAATCCCACTCCACCTTATATATTTACAACATTGATTAGGTGAGTACTGATGTGGTAGGTGTAATCCTTCTATTGACTAAACAGTGAATTAAATAGCCATTTATTCCACTTAATCACATCTAGCTCTATCTGTTTATGCTGCTTGGACCGTTTTAGATGGTTTAAACGGGTTTAAACAGTCCAACCGTTTAGGACCTAAACGACACGATTAGCCTTCGTTTAGGTTTAGGGCATACAGTGATCATACTATATATCCTTAATTGAATCTTATAAGCCAATGGGGTGCTTATCCTTATCCTGAATTTAAAAAAAAAAACTATCTATAGAATTATAAATGAGCCATTTTGAGTTTTTGACTTAGATTGTGAATTTCAACCTTGCACTAAGCTCAGTTTAAGGCCTGCTAAAATATTGTTCCACATCCTACCCAACCATAGGCTTTGCAGATCTGGCCCAGTCAAAGCTTACCCTGGCCAAAGAATGACCCAAGACCAACAAGCCCAACCTGCTCTAGCTTCATAAGACCAAATCATAGTCCAACCTGGAGTGTTTGGTGTTACTTGAATGGGCAGATTATTATTGCTTAGTCACTCAAACTTTTTTTTGTTTTATTTTACCTGATGATGTTGATGTGGCAGACAATCAAACTTTAGATAACAGATTAATATTCTGCAGCAGGCAGCTCCACTTCTTAAAGATATTTGGGTTCTACTTCTTCTTTATCTATCATATATATTTTTCGTCTGAACTTAAGTCCAAATTGGGCTTCATTGTTATGTCAGATTATTAAATTAACAGCATTAGTTTGATACTTCGATTGTCCAGTTAATACTCATATTGCCCTTGAAGTATTCTTATACATTTTCTGAGCTAGACTATACTACATTCTCAAACAGAAAGTGGTTTGGGCTGTGATTAGTCCTTGTACAGGCTAAAGCTAGGTTGGGCCTAGAAGTTCAGGTGGTGATTGGGCTGTGTTAGATTAGGCTGCCCATGGACTGGGGTCCAGGTTAGAGTAGACCAAGGTCGAGCTGATTGTTAGGGATTGTATTGCTATAACATATATTACAATATATATGTTTTGTTTCGTTTTCTCTCATTTCTTGCCACAGCAATAATTTTATTATTTAGTTCTTTTGATACACACACGAAATCACTTTGTAACTGGCTTGGTCTTTGAAATTTTTTGTCATTGCAAAACGTATCACTTATTATTCCCCAATTGCTTATATATCGAAATGCCAAACTAGCTGTGTCATAAATGCATTGTTGTTTTCGGTTAGAAGTCTTGTGTTGATCCTTTCTTCTATGCCTTTAAGACAGCCCTATGTTATGCTCTCTTTTCAGTTTCCTAAGTCGAATGATCTGAAGCTTGAAATTATCTGGCTTGTTTGCTTATTTGTTTATTGCACCACAGCATCTTTTGCCCAAGTACAAAAAGCTTTACATAGTTGGATAGGTCATGTGCAAGACAGATTATAGTGTCATTTAACGACCTGGCATCCATATCACTGTTATTTTTTCTCCTCTTTCCCTTGGTATGTTTCTTGATTTTCATTCAGCATATCTGGTTGCAGTTTAGTACAATTTCATCTTAGAATTTCAGGAGTTTTTTATCTAGAATCTTGTCATATGTTAAGCTTTTATAATTTAGAACCATATTTGGACCAGCATAGTACTTTTAGTTTATTATGACTTCAATTTGTAGGTCCAATGAAAGAGTTCAAGGCTATATTTTCACCTCAAGATGTTTTGGTATTCACCTAATAAGGTAACAATTTTCTTTCAGGATGTTGGATTATGGCTGGAAGAAATAAATCTTGGTAGCTACAGACAAGTATTTGAAGAAAACGGTGTCAATGGAGAATATCTAGAAAGCTTGTCCATGTTTACTACTGAACAGATTCTGCGCTTTATTAGGCGGTGTCATATGAAATGGGGAGACTTTATCACACTGTGCAAAGAGTTGAGGCGCATTAAAGGTTTGTATAATTATTGTTCTTCTTTAGCCTTTCACATCAAGGACTCTATCTATATAACCCATTTCTTCTATGTTCTACCTTATAATAGTTGTGCTCCTCCAAATGTACTCATTTTCTCAATCGGTTGCACTTGACTTTGTAACAATGTGCGAAGTAGTCTGTTAAAAAGAAATTTTCGTTTCCTCTCACTGATGCATCTTTTTGGCATTTACAAAAGCAGCCAATATACTAGTGTTTGAAGTGGTAAAAGCTCCTTGCTCGGTTGCTCAGTTATGTAGATTGGCTTAGCTAATTCTTTTGCTGAAGTTTTGTGCATATAAAGTGTCATTGCCAAGTTACCGGCAGCAGTTTGAGACTGTGAAATGGAAAAATGATGTTAAGAGGTGCCACAAACAGTATTGGATATAGTTAGAAAAAAGAATTCTTTAGTGGTCCATTTGACAGTTGACACAATATGAACACCTTAAATGAGAACAAGTCAGACCAGGTGGGGTATTGTTCGAAGGTCAGCTATGAACTTAGGCGGTTAGGCCTCAGTATCACTCACTTCAACGAATGCAGTGCGCCTACCTAGTTATGGACTGATCTCTTCAGAAATGCTTGACTCATTGATAACGATAACATTGACGGAACAGCACTTTGAGAATAGTAGGGAGAGACTGTAAGCAAATAGGTTGTGTGATTGAAGCTCTCTACTATATTTTGGTTCTTTCTGTTTTGGATAGTTTCACTGTGTGACTCTAATATGTTTAGCATAGTGACTAGTGAGGTTTTAGTAAGTTCAATATATGCTGCTATTGAATATTGGGTATCTTTGCCATGAACAACGCTAAGCACCCTTAAGTGAGTTCTTGAGTTGTTTTGTTTGTAATTTTGAGATATCATGCTTTTGTCTATATGTAATTCTTTGGAAGTCTCTGCTTGAACTCTGAACGAAGTTTGGTGTGACTAATGTTGATTGTAAAATCCAGTCGCCTGCCTCAAAGGGGAGCAAGAAGTCCGCAGGCCATGGTGGGCGCCGGCATGCCTCTCCATAGTGTTCGTGAGGGCAGCCAAGCAGAACAGGAAGTCCCGTGTTGTCTCCTTGAAGCTGGAACCATAATGCTTGTCACTTCGAATCGTCGCCTGTGCTCCTAGTCCTCCAGTTCTGTAGGAGGCAGCCTGAGCGCACATCACCATCGTGCGCTGGTCCACAGTGGCATGAATGCTGTTTTCGCTCTGAGTGCATCATGCTCTACTATGTACAACTGGTCTCTCTCTTATGCCTTGCTAGTTGTTCTTCATATATAGGTTTGGAACAGTAATCTGTTGTAGACAAAGAAAGAAACATATGATGTGCAGATGGCCCCTGGCTCCCTGCGAGGTCTGCTCTCTACTTCTCACATATCTTCCTGAGTCGCTATGGTGCATGCGATTCGCTAAAAGAATAAAAGATTGGCCAAGACCTCATTGTCCCGTGCGCCTGTTTCACGACTCTGTTGAACTCATCCACCCAGGAAGCCTAGATTCGGCATACATGCCCATATTTTTATTTTTTATTTTATGATGAATGCATTTAGTGGTAGATAATATGCTCCAAGTATTTATTTTATGAATGCATTTAGTGGTTTATAATAATACTTCTGCAGTCCCAAAATAAATCAATTTCCATAGAGTTTGTCTTAAGTTTTTGTTTTAAATTTGACCGAGTTTATAGAAAAAGGGCAATAGTATTTTATATCCTTAAACAAAACATATTATGAAAATTTATTTCATAGTGTATCTAACGATACTTATTTAGTATCATAAACTTTGACGTTCTTTCTTTTAAGTTTAGTTAAATTTTAAAAAATTAACTTAAGACAACTCTAGGAGAATAGATCTACCGGTTTAAATTTTAGAGTTGTTCATGGGTAAGATGTTTATGCGTTCGTAAGGCAGTGTGTGTAAGATATACTAGATTTCTAAAAAAACGTGGTTATGTGGCTATTTGTTAAGTGCTAGGCAAAATTTTCATTGCTATAAGACGCTTATGATGACTTCATTGATGTCAAGTCTTATCAACTCACTGATCTTTCAACCACCCCTACAACATCACCCATGGCGGGTCAATATGTTGGTCCATAGCATGCGCATGCTATGACTATGAAAGACTATCTTCTATGTACACAGTTTCCCATCATATACAACTTTAAGGTTGCATTTAATTTAATGCTATTGCTATGAAGATTATGTTTTACTGCTTTTGTTTTATAAAAAGTATCATTTAATTTTCTAAATAGTTAAACATTTTCAGTTTTGATCAAATATATATAAAAAATATTAATATTTTTTATATATAATTAGTATCATTAGATAGATCATTGAATATATTTTTATAATAAACTTATTTAGAGATATTAATGTTGTTAATATTTTCTACAAATCTAATCTGACTCAAGAAAGTTTAACCAGCACGAATCTCATAATGACTCTTTTTATGAGACAAAGAGAGTATATATACACGATTTCCCATCATATACAACTTTAAGTTCGCATTTAATTGATGCTATTGATTATGAAAAACTATCTTCTATATACATGATTTTCCATCATATACAACACTAAGGATGCATTTAATTTGGGACAAGGAGGGATTAATCGAATCCTGTTCAGTTATTTAAAACGGAATCATCCCGTGATTATATTTGGTTGAGGGGATTTTAACATCCTTGTTTGCGTTTGGTACAAAAGATGGGGATGGAGAGGATACATGATGCTTTAGATCCGTTAGGTAGCCATCAAGTGGGGCCTGCATGTCATTCTCCCTCATCATTTTATTCTTTGTTCTTTCCCGCTACCACGTCTCCTCTGACGTCCTAGCCTTTGCTTGCTGCTCCCACACCCACACGATTCCCCCGCCTTAGCCCGCCATCCATGGTCGTCCTGACCCTCGCCCAACACCCAACCTACACTTGTTGGCCGCTTCCACACCCGGGCAACAACCTTGGCTTGGACCTTGCCATCCATGGCCCCCTCGCCCCGCCCGCCATGGCTTCACCCCCGCTCTCACTGGCATGTCCGCCTGATGCGTTGCCTGCTGCAACATGAAGAAAAAAAAGAGGCACCAACAAAGGATCTAAGCCTCTTTCTCAAGTTCAATGGAATGACGGGGACTCGTATTTCCGGGCTAGCCTGACGAAGGTTAAACAAGATATTCTCCGTTTTGGGATTATCGTAATTTAGGATCACAAGTAAGAAGATAGATGGCTAGGACAGTCAACTCTGCATCAACAATATCCTTGCCTTTATAACATAGCCCGGCACAAACAGGTTGTTGTAGCAGAAGTGTTATTCATGTCACCACCTACTCTATCCTAGCGAAGAGATCTAATTGGACACAAATTAGTGGCTTGGAACAACTTATTTCCACGCATCACGAATAATATGTTAAACCAACATGAAGATGAATTTCGCTGGAACTTGCATCCTAATGGAAAATTCTCAGTTAAATCTCATTACCAGGTAATGATCCATAATGATAAATGCTTGTGGAAATTAAAAGCTCCATCGAAGTTCAAGGTATTTCTGTGGTACCTACGTAGAGGCGTAGTGTTAACGAAAGACAGCTTAGCTAAATGCAGTTGGCACAACAACAAATAGTGTTGTTTTTGTCACAAAGATGAGAAAATTAAGCACCTATTTTTTAGTGCCATTTTAGTCATGCTATCTGGTCTGTTATTCCGGCGGCTTTAGCCTTGTCTCAACCGCATAGTGTATCAAACATGTTTGGGTCTTGGCTCTGCGGTCTTAGTAAAGGCTGTACCCAGTGCAGAGAGCTTCCGCTCTGTGCGGGGTCTGGGGAAGGGTGTCAGTGGCAAGCCTTACTCTCGCCTGTATAATGCGAGGAGACCGCGACTCGAACCCGAGACCTTCCGATCACAGGTGGTAAGACTCTACCGCTTGCACTAGGCCCGCCCTTTGCTCTACGGTCTTAGTAAAGAATTAAAATCGTTAGCTTTGCTAGAAGTAGCAGCTACATGTTAGTCGTTTTGGTTACGTAGGAATGACCTAGTTTTTGAAAAGAAACGTACTTCTTTTCCTTTACGGGTTATCTACTCGATTATACATTGGCTTCGTATATGGGCTGTCCTATAGAAGCCAACTTCACAAGATTTTGTTGTAGCGGCAACTCAACAATTGGCGCGGGTGACCAAGAAGTTTTTTACCCAGGCACATGGGTAGCAGTCTTAGTCTCCAGATTAAGTGTTATTAGTGTGTTCTTTTTTAAAAATCTTTCTTTAGGTTGTGTGTATCCTTGTTATATAGAGACCAGAAGTGTTTTAAGGTCTTTGTATCGTCTTGTTGTAATGAATAATCGGAAAAAAAAAACCTTCAGCAACACCTAAGCTAGTGGGACCTTGAAAATAACACAGTTTGCCTTATTTATATATATAAAAAAGCATCCCCTAGTGGGGCTGGGCTGGCGAAAAGCTCCACGTGCTTCCCTTTTTCTTTCTTTTTAAGACGACAGGGTTTCTCAAAGTACTCACACCGCCGTGTGTGCATGAGGCTCCTGAGGCTTGACGAGCCGCACAGTTACGGTGGCTCCGGCGAGCTAGCCTGCCGGCCATGGCCAGTAAAACTAGGCCGGGAGGCGCGCTTCGCCAAGCCCGTGCTGGCTGAGCCGTAGCAGAACTCTATGTCTGCGCCCTTGCAATAGAAACGTCCTTTCATTAGAAACGTTCTTTCATTTTGATAAGGTAAGCTCTACACATTTCCTGTATGTCATCATATTGCTACAGGTGTACGGCCCATTAAGATAATTTCTAAAGCATGCTTAACCAGTGTTATATCCTAGACGCTAAACGCTAAATGGTCAGTCACCTACCGTTTAGCTATTTATTTGGGCTAAACAGCCATTTAAACATATTATAAATGGGATAAACGATCAATTAAACAGATACGGTAAGCTATCGTGTAGCGTTTACACGGCGGGTAAACGGGTCAAATGGCCGTGTATGCGAACAATATGCTTAACAGATCAAACAATGTTGGTAAAATGTCCATGTAAACTCGATCAATTAGCGCATGTGGAGTGTGGCAAATAAGCTGGCCTTAATTAAGGCTAGGCTGCGCGTGGGGTAGGTGGGAGCGAGATCCCAAGAAGGGAAGGCGACCCAGGGGAAGGGAGACATGGAAGGGGATGCAGGGGGACATGAGGGAAGGGGTAAGGATGAAAACATAATGGATATTTCTGGATATCCGTCCGTCCCGAAAGGGTCAAAACGCTATATGGATAGTTTATATCTGAATCCGAACATTTAGTATCCGACCGAATCCAAATCCGAATACTCAAAATCGGATTTCTAATATGTATATGAAATAGATATCAATATCCAAATGATCCGTATCTGGTTCTAAAATCCAATAAAAATATGGGATAGAATATGAGATATAGGACATAATGATGCAGGATAAGTAGTATCGTTTGTATCCGATCCGCTTTCATTCCTGTGCTGGCCCAAAATTTTTGCGTCGTGTTCAGGGATGCATGGGGCAGGGGAAGGAGGGAGAGCTAGGGTTATTGCTTACAAGGGTCACTCTTGTGCCAGCCCAATAATCCTGCTTGAACCAACACTATGGGCCATGATCGGGCCATGACAGCATGGACACTGTGGCCGTTGGGTCATGTCAGCACATACCAAGGATGGGTCCCACATTGAGGTGGTGCAGATTAACCTAGACACTCCGGATGCCCTAGGAAGAAGTCCATTTTAAACCATTGAACTACCACGACGTAGTCTGATCGTGGCCATCGAACTTGAAAACCGAGTATCTTTAACCATAGAATTTTGAAAACCAGAGAAGTTTTTATCTAAAAATATGTATTTTATAAAGGTGTTTTTGTCTATATATGTATTTCCTAAAGCTGGTTTTAAAGGTGTTTTTGTCTATATATATTTACGGTGCTTGGGAGGAACGGTTCCTCTCCATGAAATTTTTCTAAACCGTTGATCTTAAAATAGGATAATTAATTTATAAGTAAGGGTAGCCTAGTAATTGTATCCCTCCCGGAGCACCCATTCGCCTAGTGCTTGTAACACCCCGGATGTTAGTCACCAGTTAAGCAGTGGATTTGGACTTAAGTAAACTATATCAAGCAATGCTTATGATCTCTAGTTCATAATCTGGAAGTAATGATGAACGTATTGAGGTCA